ATATATATATGTACAATACTGATATATATTGGCTCAAATAAATGGATTAAATTACATCCAGTAATGTTTCCCTTCACAAATGATTGCCGTGATAACTGTCATTTTATTTTAAAAAGTCAAAATCTACATTTTAAAGACATTTACAAGGAATAAGCTTTCTCAATTTAAAGGCACACCCTCTTCTATGTACAGTACAGACCAAATGTTTGGACACACCTACTCATTCAAATAGTTTTCTTTATTTTCATGACTTTAAAAAATGTAGATTCACACTGAAGGTATCAAAAACTATGAATTAACATGTGGAATTATATACTGAACAAAAGAGTATGAAACAACTGAAAATATGTCTTATATTCTAGGTTCTTCAAAGTAGCCACCTTTTGCTTTGATTACTGCATCACACTCTTGGCATTCTCTTGATGAGCTTCAAGAGGTAGTCACCTGAAATGGTTTTCCAACAGTCTTGATTTCCCAGAGATGCTTAGCACTTGTTAGCTCTTTTGCCTTCACTCTGCAGTCCAGCTCACCCCAAACCATCTCTACTGGTTCCAGGTCCGGTGACTATGGAGGCCAGGCCATCTGGTGCAGCAGCCCATCACTCTCCTTCTTGGTCATAAAGCCCTTACACAACCTGGAGGTGTGTTTGGGTCATTGGGCCTCATGCAAGAACATGTTCGTGTTCTTATTTTAAATTTCTCTTACTTTTGTTCGTACGAAGGGTTCGCCCTTCCCACCCCATAAAACGCGTATTTCAAGTTTTACAGATTGTCTGTACAAATTTTCCCTCATTTTTCATGACTACAGAAGTGCAGAGAAACTTTAATGGAACTTTTCAACAACTCAGCTTCAAACTTATTTTCCTCTACCACAGACTTTTCATTAAAATACGAGGGTGTGAAAATGGATGTGCAGGCCCTCCTCTTTAGATTGACATCTCCTTTGACCAACTGGGTTGATTCTCTCCAGAGCCAATATTATATATAAAAAAAGTTGATTTTCGACTAAAAGATGGTGCAACGTGCTGAAAAGAAAGCTTTCATGAGGTGATTGAGTGGTTCAGGGAAAGGAAGATTTTTCTGTCGAGGAAATGTCTGAAAAAGGTGAGCAGTGAGGCGTCTGTGGAGTGCTTCAGACTGAATCATGAATTTGGGTCATGAAGAAGGATAAATTCCTCTTTCAAAAGTAAGTGAAAAAAATCTGTCATATCCTGCTGCTGTTTGTTGTTTAAATATAAATATATGTATGTATGTATGTATATATATATCTATATATANATATATATATATATATATGTACATTTGTCATAATTTTTTATATTGTTATAAATACATTTTGTGTGATGTGAAAGTAATATTGATTGTTTCTGTGAATTTAATGGATTTTTGAAAGTCAGTATACAGGTGGATGTCTGAAGTGCTTGATTTGTAGGAAAATGCTGCAGCTGTGTGGACATCAGAGGCAGTTCCCCTGGATTGGTAGACCAGGGTAGTGGTCCACTTATCTAAAAAGGGAAACCACAGAGTGTGTTCCAAATACAGGGGGATCACACTTCTGAGCCTCCCTAGTAAGATCTATTCATTGATCCCGGAAGGGAAGGATCCATTGAATAGTTGAATCGGTGAAAGGTGTGTGCAAAAACAAACGTTGACCAGGAGTCAACTGTTCAGCTTCAGATGGAGCATGCAGGGCTCTTCAGGCTACACTCAAGCCCTAATCCACCAGACCCTGGTTTACTTCAGTGCTTTGGTAAAGACATCTTGGGAGGGTTTTAGATATATACCTAGTGATGTGCACAGATATCCATTGGTGCCAGTGGATATACAGTATAAGCTCAAAAAGCAAAGTTGTGCTTAGCTCCTGCCTCCAAAGAATTGTGGTTATATTCCACCCAGACATAAAAGATGCATTATTATTATTATTATTATTATTATTATTATTGGTCAAATTTCAACACTTTGTCTTTACAGTGGGTTGAGATAGATTGGATTTGATGGCAATAAAAGGCACTTTAACACAATGAAAAACCATCCTTTGTTTGCCTTCCCCCCCTGTACTCTTCACAAAACAGTTTATGATGTCACACTGTTCTGACTGGTGGAGCCGTGTCCAAACAAATCCTTCAAAGTCAAAAGAATGAAATCACTTCACAGAACGCAGGAGCCAGCAGGCTGTCAATCAGAGCAGATGATGGAGGAAACTGTCCAATTTCCACCCAGATTGTACGTCTGTTTATCACAAAATGAACACATTCCAGCTCATCTCCCAGACTGTGGTGTACCACATACCCCTCTCCCCCTTCTTGTTTCAGCTCTTCAAACTTCTGCCTTGGTTTGTCTTGTTAGGTTTTGTTTGTCTTCCTGAAATATTTTAGTTAATTAAAATTTAATTTAAAAAATCTGTAGATACCTGTAGATGTATTAGGTTAGTTTTTGTGGAAAGACCAGTCCTCATCAGTAATGTTTTACTTTTTTATACAAATTTATGCCCTGAAAGCTGACTCTACTAATAAGACCGTTCATCATACTGTGAAAAAAAAAACAACAAAAAAACCAGCACAGACGTAAAGCTACTTTAAACCTCTGTTAATTTGACAATCTGTCTGAGCTTAAAGACTTCTTCATGATACCAAAACTCTGAATTTTACCTCATCATAATCAGAGAAATTGAAAACCTTGCTTCTTTGGATGTTTTTGACAGCAGCGGTGACTCACCTGAGAGTCACTGCTGCTGTTGAAGTTTGGTTCATCTCTCAGTCCAGTAATCCAGAGGAAAACACCCTCTAGACCCTCTGGATTACAAGACCCAACAAATTGCTGTATGTACTCCTTCATCTGTTCGAGCGGGACAAGACTCTCCGTTTGTCTCCATTCCTGCTACATTACAGCTCCGTGAGGAGGAAACGTCTCTGCTCTGAAACTTCAGAACAAGTGCTTTTTCTCAATAAAACATATTGAAAGGTATTCACACACCACCTTCGTTCATTTTTTTAAAGTATTTTGCAATTTTACTCTTTCTAAAATCCAACAGCTATTTCCGTTATATGTTACTTTCTTTGGCTCCCAAATGTCCCTGTGGTTAGGTGAAACTCCACAAGAGCCAATCTTCTTCTGGAACAACTGGTTCACATGATTCGATCACTGATCCAAAAGCCCATTCAAAAAGAAAAAAATTATTGGCTTACAAGTTCTATGAGGGAAAGACAGGAGGTAGAGTTAAAGGCAGATAAACACACAAATCATGTTTTTCTATCTCTGCAAGAACTTTTCATTCAGTATCATTTCTGTTGACTCACCACTGAACCTAAACTCAGTTCACAACTTAGTCCTATCCCAAAAAACTAGGGACAGTGTGTACTCACAAGGTAATACAGCGGGTAAAATAAGTATTGAACATGTCACCATTTTTCTCAGTTCATATATTACTAGAGGTGCTAATGACGTGAAATTTTCACCAGATGTCGGTAACAACCCAAGTGATCCATACATACAAAGAAATCAAACCATAAATGTCCAGAAATGAAGTTATTTGTAATAATGTGGAATGGCACAGGGAAAAAGTATTGAACACACTTACTGAAATTTATCTAATACTTTGTACAAAAGCCTTTGTTGTCAATGACAGCTTCAAGACGCCTCCTGTATGGAGAAACTAGTGGCATGCATTGCTCAGGTGTGATTTTGGCCCATTCTTCCACACAAACAGTCTTCAAATCTTGAAGGTTTCGTGGACCTCTTCTATGAACTCTGATCTTTAGTTCTTTCCATAGATTTTCTGTTGGATTCAGGTCAGGTGATTGGCTGTGCCATTCCACATTATTACAAATAACTTCATTTCTGGACATTTATGGTTTGATTTCTTTGTATGTATGGATCACTTTGGTTGTTACCGACATCTGGTGAAAATTTCATGTCATTAGCACCTCTAGTACTATATTTACTGAGAAAAATGTTGATGTGTTCAATACTTATTTTACCCGCTGTACCTGACTCTAAACCTAATCTAAACTCAACTCACACCTTAGCCCTAACCGCTGACCCATCAATGGTATTTCCCCCAATGGGGACCAGGCTTTTGTCCCAATAAGGAACAGTGAGGCAGCAAAAAACATGTACACACGCAGACACACACATAAACCAAGTTATTCAAATGGCTTGATCCGACATGAGTAAGACAAAAAAGTGTTATGAAACAAAACCTTGGCCAAAACTTTGGAGATGCACTGAAGCTACGAGAGCAGGAGACAGGAGAGTATTTCCAGCTGAAATCAGCTGATTCACTTCAGGCTGCTGCAGGAACACAAGCATAACCAGAAACCCCTGACACTTACATGTCATTTATAGAAAAATATGAACAGTTGATTTTTAAAATATAATTACTGCCGCTCCAACAAGGAGCTCATATACCCACCATCCAACTACAATCATGTCATAATTAGCCTGTAGGTTCAGGACAGCTGGACAACGCAGGTCATTTTCCTGCTGCTTGGATCTTATTCTACAACCAAAAATAAAAAAATAAAAATAAAAAATTAAGACATTTTTTCCTAATCATCTGAGGTGTTGGAAATCATTACTTGTTCTTTTCTATCAGGGATGTTCCCTAGCAGCTGACATCACCACTGCTCATCATTATCAAACCCACTGACCTGTGGTGACGTTCATTTCTGAAGATGAGTCTGACCACAGGTTTGAGGGGGAGTGGCTAGAAAAAGTGATGTAAAGAAAATTCCCTTACCAAAAGAGAAAGAGAAAAAAGTCGGTCTTATCATGATGAAAAGATAAAAACATGCAAAAACATTTTATTTGTGATCCAAATCACACGTATACAAGAAGTCAAGATATAAGCATGTCATTTGAAGAGACCACAGCCAAAAGAACTAGAAAGGGAAAAAAAATACAATCTGTACACATTTGAGTTTACAGTGAGTAGCCAGTAGAAGAGTACCAGAGAACACTAAGGCAAATCATCAGCAGACAGAAGAAACAGTGCCAGTTTTCTGTTTTTAATCCACCACAGCAGCGGATCAATAAGGGTCTTTGCTACAAAACATGAACTGATGATTTCCTTTATTTGCAATCAGCTGCATAAGTTACATTATGATAAAAAAAACATAAGGTATCTATCTAAAGTTGAACATTACTGTACATGTATTTTCACTTGCTTTGGAAAATCCAAACCAGCAAAACAGGTTAACTCTGGGTTTGAATACGATCCGTTTCTCACAACACTGACCCTGAGAGGTTCAAACTAACACAGACTTACTTTTTAACTACAAAAGCCTGTCAGTGTTTGGTACAGGCTTTGACAGACGTGTGTTTCCAGTGTTTACACGGTGCAGAATATGTAGTGGTGCAACATGAGATCTTACCCAGGATTTACACTGCGTCCGCTCCGCTGGTTTCAGAATAAAACCAGCGGAGCGGACGCAGTGTAAAGCCTGGGTCCGCTCCGCTGATTTCAGAATAAAACTCTCATGTTTTGTTAGTATTGTGTGGATGCACAGCCATAAATTATACATTTACCCATATTTAAACCCACGTATTAACCAATATAGATAGGATTTCAAGAAAAAGTAGTCTGTTATTGGTGAATTATTTTGAAAATCAGCTCATTCATTTTCCTGTTGGTGTGGTGTGATCTTTGTAGATTGACTCTGCATTTGCTTAGTTAAATCAGACTCAGGTAGAGTTTTGGTGGATGTAATGTAAATTATGGAATAAATCTTGTTACATTACAGAAAGGAGGCTTTACCTAAGTGAAACGTAAATCTGTGGATCTGTGTTTGATTACTCTGGCTGACTTCCTCAAGGACCAGGATGTGTGACACAAAAATCTGAATTACGGAACTGATGGTGAAAGTAGTCAAACTGAATTTTTAATGAACCAAAATACAGTTTGAAAGTAAATTAATTACATACAAAGCTTTAAATTCTATTTCAAACCAGTCAATTTAGTGAGTTTAATTTTCAAACCAACGCATTTAATTTCAAATTGTGCACATCCAGCTTCAATCTGAGCAAACTGAGTTCCTGCTGACACAAGATTTATTCCGTAGTAAATGCTCTTATTACCTGTAAAGGGTTTGTTTCTTTGGAGGAGTTTGTGCCTTGGTGGAGCGGAGAGGACGCAATGTAAATCCAGGGTTATACTCGAGGCCGGAGCAACACAACCCCCTGATGATGTTAGTGATGAGGATTTGAGAGCTTCTGCAGAGGAGAAGCTGAGCTCTGTTTACTGATCAGTCTACATTCCTACCCTCACCTATGGCTTTGGGTAGTGAACACAAGCCTCCTTAGGCTTCAGACAAGTCCAGTTAAGAGGAAAGACCCAGGACACGCCTGCAGAGTCTATGTCTAATAGAGAAGGAGGAGGTGGCTGTGGAAAGAGAGGTCTGGACCTACCTGCTCAAGCTGCTGCCCCCCCAGACCAGACTGTGGGACAAGCAGCAGGCAATGGATTGATGTTTGTGGTTAATTTACATTTAACTCAAATGAATCAAACCCTTTCCTCCATCAACTTCTTTTATGATGAGATATTCTTCACTGTCACCGTATCCTGCAGCAAAACAAATACTTCAAATGTGTTTTTGTTATTTATCTGTTTCTGTTTGTGGACTCAGTTTTTAGCTCAACCTTTGGCTTTTCTTTTTCAGCTGTACTCACATCTATAAGCAGAGACAGAATCCCATCTAAAGGTCATTTTTTTTCCCTGCTTTGTTTAGTCGTCCTGGAAACAAGCCGACTTGTGTCGTTCTAAATTCCCTTTCACGAAGGAGCGAGGACGTAAGCAGAGCGTATGAACAGCAGAGAAAAACATTTCTCACGAGTCAGAAGCCTTCCAGATACGAGAAATGATTTCAGTTTAGTTTGGCACATAAACGTCCTTGACAATAAAACAGAGCTCAAACTGTTCACTGGAAAATCTGGTGTGATGTGTGTTTGTTTGGTGTTTGTGGAGACAAAAATCTGAGGCGGTGGATCTCAGCTGGTTTTAACAAAGGAATCATGTGCAGTGCAAGCCCAGAAAGGACATGAATATATCTGCTGAGGTGTGGTGAAGGAAACACACACAAACAGCTGGTGTATATGTGTGTGTGGTTGTGATGACACTTCTAGTTGGATGTGTCACTGCAGAGAATACTGACACTAAGTTTATACCTGTCAAACCCAAAGAAAGGTATAACTAAAAGAAACTTGTGGAAAATAACCACTAATGATGATCTCACCTGTTGTAGGTAGACTTTGAATGATCTTGTTTTCGAGAAGAGTTTAATGTGGGGGCACTGATAATCTTACTTTACAGTTAATATTACTAACAGCCACTACTCACTGAAGCTAGCTCATCAAGCATCAAGCGTACGACCTCAACAGATTTTTGCTCAAAATCTGTAGATTTGATTAGATTTATTTATACTTTTATATTGATTTATAATCATTTATCTGTGCTAGATCTTAGAAAAAGTTGTATTTATGAAATTACACCCTTTCTTAGAAAAACATGGCATTTACGAAAAATTTGGATCAGATTTAGATTTAGAGTCTTGTTGCTTTTGTGCTGCTGGACCTAACAGCTGCTTTTAATAAAGTGGACCATGCTGTCCCTCTGTCTTGTCTTCAGTTCTATATTGATATATTCGGTTCATATCTGGTCCTACTGGACCAACAGAAAGTTTTTTTTTTGTAATGATGATTGATAGTTTGTCTGCCTCTAGTGCTATTCTTTCTTGTGGTGTGCCACAGGGCTCTATTCTCGGTCCTCTCATCTTCTCTCTTTATTTGCTTCCCACTTCAATCAGTTACAGCCAGGCATCATTTTTCTTTTCACTGTATGTTGATGATTTACAGATTTATTTGCCTTATGAAGCCTAGAGAATGTAACTTTCAAACTTATAAGTTTTAAATGAAGGAAAGACAAAGTGTATCGTTTTTGGTGATGATGCTTCCTATAACTTTGGTGCTCTGAAGTCCAAATGTAGACCCACAATTAAAAACTTGGGGGAATGAGTGTGTGAATTTTTTTCAATTACATCTTTTAGGCAGTGTCCAGCCTTTATTGAATCATCCTAAATTGGAAAAGGCCATTTATGCTTCAGATTGACTAACTGTAATGCTTTATATGTTGGAATCTCCCAATCCTCCCTTAGCCATCTTCAACCTATCCACAACACTGAAGCCTGACTTTTAACGAACACACTGTGATGTTTTATTATTTCTTCACTGGCTTCCAGTCTGATCTAGAATTGATTTGAACTCACATTGTTTGCTTTTAAAACTGCATCCAGACTTTGGAACCAACCTCCTCAAGATTTACACTCCATTAATGACTTGGGTCTTTTTTAATCTAATCTGAAAAATTTCTGATACAAACAGGAGTGGCATTTCCTCCCATTTTGTTAATCATTTTATGTGTATTGTTCTTAAAGTCTGTTTTAATTTTTGTATTGTTAAGCACTTTGATCAACGTTTAGTTTTGTAAAGGGCTATTTAAAGAAAACATGTTGACTGATTGCTAAGGCTGATTAGTGCAGCAGCCATCTTGAATCAGGTTGACTCCAAAAGTTTATCAGTTGTAGATGTACATCCAACATTTACTTTTCCAGAGTTCTGTTTAGTGTTTCATGAGATATTTTGCTAACAGACAGTGTAGGGACCCTGCTTCTACAGACCCAAACCTGCAGAGTGAAGCCATGTTTTACTGGTAGAATCATCCAAAGCATCTTAAGTGGACTTTGCCCTTTAAAGTATCCATCCAGTGTGTCTTCATAGAAATACCTCTCTCCCCCCTCTCTCACACATACACACACACACGCAAGCACGCACCCACACACACTCTCTCCTCATTATAATGGCAAAGTGCTCCTGTAGTTGCAAACCTCAGGAGCTTTTAAAGCAACACAGAGAATTAAAAACGAACACAACCAACTGAATGTACAAAAAGGCACATTTGACCCCAGTGCTGCTGTACGGTAAAATTCAAGTGTGAATGAGCGTCTGTAGCATGGCTGTCTCGGCTCTTCAACCTTCACTTCCCATCTGAAAGCTCCCAGTTGTTAGCATGCGTGCTAACGCTCCGATCCGGTGGCCCAGTCGCACACTAGGTGTCACCGGGACCAGAGTCAGCACGTTCCATCAGCTGTCCCCCCCCCCAAACAGGCAGCGAGATCCAAACGTCAACGTAGTCCCACATCTCCTTTGCCCCACCCATCCGCCTGAGCCTTCTCAAGCAAGGGTAGAGTGGTTCTTGTTAGAGGGGGCGGGGCAAGGGGGGAGGACTAACGGCGCTAATCGTCCCCTCCGCCGTACAGGTCGGCCAGTTTACGAAAACGAGGCCCCCAGTTGCCGAGGTAATCGTAATCCTGGTCTCCACAGCTGGAGGAGGAGTGCAGGGAGCTGAGGGAGCCGGCGGTGGAGCCGCTGCCCTCGTAGTCGAACACCAGTAGGGAGTCGTACGGGGGGGCCGTGGGGTCGTTGTCTGCAGCCTTCAGGCCCTGAAAAGAAGATGGAGGAGAGAGAGATTGAAGGAGCTAATCTACGTGTCATGGCTGCAGGTGTACAGCAGGCTGTTCATCTCGTTTGACTCGACCAACAAAAGAGGAAAACCACAAAAAGAAAGAGAAATTTTCAGCAAAAACACCCGACACAAATGATCTGGATTATGTCTGACAGAATCCCTGTCCTTATGGTTCAGATGCTCAGGATCAGTCAGCTGCAGATTACAGCAGCAGATCAGTCTCAGGATCCATTTGTTGTCTAACGGCATCACATCTGTATTTGCCGAGGGGGTACTAAGCCCTTCGCTCACAAAAACCTGCGTTTGATGTTTTAAAGAGACTCGTGTCACACAGGTTAATCCCCCAACTTCCATATTTCACTCCTGAAGCGGTGAAGGCTGTAGAGCTGTCAGCTCCATCTGCGGAGGACGAATCCATCCCTGTTTGCCGAAGAGATTTTCTGAACGCTGCGACGGGAGGAAAACCTGAGCACACGGCTAAGTGAGCTCCAGGACTCTTACAGAGCGCAGCGGGAGATTAAAGTAATCTCTTTCTTTAATAATTGTGCGGTAAGTCTTGACGTTTTTATGAGGCTCGCGTCCATCTGTCTGCGGAGGCCAGCTGAAAGGAGCGCGGCTCGCTTTCCAAAACCCCTCACGCACACTTCATTTTAGCCTGGAAGCTCAGAACAACCAGCCGGCTCCGGTGGAGAGGTTCTGACTGGGCGCAGCTGTGCGTTCGTCTGGACGAGACGAGACGAGCAGGAGTTGAGGAAGAAGAGGGGCAAGGAGGGATTACAGAGGAGGATTGAGGTCAGGCTGGACAGATGCTGCCTCTGTCTCGACGAGGAGATTCAGCAGATTACCCAGAATGCCCTGAACTCCACCCGGCACCCCCATTCCAGGATCAAATCGTTTACTCTTACAGTTTATATAAAACAGCTGGTAGAACCATCTTCAGCAGAAATAACTGGCTTGAGGGGTTTTCCCACTAAAACTGTAGACCAGTGCTGGTACTGGTTCCTCACTGTAACTGAGTTTCAGTGCAGAGGTACTTCATCTCTGCAGATTACAGGGTTTGTCATTCCTGACAATCACAGAGATGGAAGTGTTTCAGGAGATGGAGGAGGAGGAAAACACATTTAAGTTCAGGGTGTGGACTGTTTTAATGACCGTCGAGTCCTGTTGTTCCTTCAGCAGCACACACAGCTTTTCTGGACTCTGCCTGGGATATATTTGTCATTATGAAAATATTGCTCTTTTCATATGTATAGTACATTTTGTGACATTTAGTCAGTAACCATTAATATGAGGATTAATAAATGACAATGGCACTTGCATGTTTTTTTAAATTTGTTATCTTGTGTTGTAAAATTATACTTACATATCACGAGTTAAACTAATTTAGAGCTTACTTTGCCAATCGACAGATTGAGAGAATCGTGGATTCTTGGCTCAGTAGATTGGTTTCCACAGTTTGCTGGAGGAGAGGTTGTTGTAGCCGAAGCTGTGGCCTCAGTCTGCTTTAGCTGGTGTTCCTCATACCACTACAACAGGTTGGTAGTGTTTGTGACTGGCCCATATCTGCTCAAGATCCGACATCTTGAAGAACCAGTTCCACAAAACGCAAGTTGAATCTACGAGCTGCTCCGCTACAACGTCGATATGATAAAGGCTCACGTGCACGCTTGCAGGTGAACGTGTGTCGCACACAAAAGTACGTCATCGTCACGCGACACTGACGGCAGAGTGGCAAATGTTAATGGGCGACAGTGTTTCTGTACAGCCTGAGACAAAGGTAGAAGGTCAAAAACGTGTTTGAGAAGAAAAAAAAATACACGTTGAAATCCGAAAGACTGAGAAACAAAACGGCTGACGTTTTTATTTGTCAAACAGGAAGCAGTTTGTGTTGCACTGATGGAGTGACTCGGCACTTTGTGTGAACTGAAAAGTGAACACGTCCAACACCAGAAGCTGACAGACTGGACCCCCTCGTCTGCTGACCTCACAGACAGCTTGGACTGAGAGAAACATTTAAACACACACACACGCACGTTTGCACAGCTATCTAATTGGGGACATTCCATTGACTTCCATTACATTTCTACATCCTAACCCTGACCACAAACCCTAAGGCTAACCTCACAGGTACCTACCTGACCCTAAAACTAACCTAAACTCAATTCACATCTTGGTCCTAAACCCAACCCCCAACCCACCAATGGTATTTAAACCAAATGGGGACTCGACTTTTGTCCCCAAATGTAGGATTTTTGTCTTAAAATTGCCCCCAAATGTCACCAAAGCCATAACCACACACACACACACACGCACGCACGCACGCACGCACGCACGCACACACACACACACGTTACTGTCATACCTCATGGATAAAATCTCCTATATCTCCTGGATGAGGGGCTGCAGAGCGGAGCGGGTACTGGTGGTCGTGATGGAGGGGTCTCTCGTCCAGACGTCTGATCCCCACCTTCACACACTCCGGCTCCAGAGCATCGGGCTGCTGCAGCTGGCTCAGATCATAGTCCTACAGACAGACACAAGACCAGACAGCAGCGTGTTACCATTGTAGTTAATCAAATTGACTTTGTTTCTGTTCAGTTTAGTCTGAAACATCATTTTACCTCAGCAACACGACCATCACCGCAACAACTCACACAAACTGCATCCTATAAAGGTTCTGGTGATTTTATTTTCTCAGCTAAATTGCTGCTTTTTTGTGTGTTTGTACTGTGGCCGACAGGTGCAAAGGTGTAGCAAACAGATAAAAGCACAGCAGACAGCTAAACACGCAGCTAAGAGCCAAACGCACAGCAAACAACATAACACATTGCAAACGGCTAAATGAGCTGCAAATGGCTAAATTAAATTCATTTGGTAGGGACAATGTACATTAGTTGACATTTCTGTAAACGCTCCAGAATTAGCCAAAGGCTATTTTTCACCTGTTGTCCCTGGATAATGAGTAATTTATCTTGCTAAAAACAAACAAGGTTAAAATGACTCAACTACACACATTTTGTAAATAATACACAGGGTTCCCACACATTGGTCAACATCAAATTCAAGGACCTTTCAAGGACTTTCCAGTACCAATTTCCTCCAATTAAAGAACCACACGCAACGGCAATTACTGTACCTACTGCTACCCCAGAATGTTACCAATTAACAGGTAATCATGTAAATTCAGTGACAAACTGAACAACATAGAAGTTGTTGAGTCAGAAACAATGACGTTAATTTACCGTAATCCTGACTTATCCACCTCAACAAATGTGTTTTTTTAAATTTTATAATTTATTTTTTTAAAAGATGATGAAAATCAGTCGTGTGAATAGAGAACTTCAAACCCCAAAAAACTTTCAAGGACTTTCAAGGACAAGTGTAATTTTTGGCTGTTTTCACAAACTTTCCAGGGCCTTGAAATAATTTTTTCAAATTCACAAACTTTCCAGGGCCTTGAAATAATTTTTTCAAATTCACAAACTTTCAAGGATTTCAAGGACCCGTGGGAACCCTGAATACAATAAAATACAATTAGTACAAACAGTAAATACCAAAAAAAAAAAAAAAGTCACCACAAATTTTCTAAAAAGAATAAGATAATCATTAAAACGAATGCTAACTAAAAGCCCAGCAAACAGCTGAAAGCATCACAGTCAAATGTGCCACAAACAGTTAGTGCTGAAATAATCGATTACATCGATTACAAAAATGAGTCGACACAGAATTTTATCATCAATTATTTGTGTTACTTACCAACCTAAGTGTTCATTTATATCTGCAATGAAATACACAAACTTCTGGGGGCAGAAGACCTTCTATTGTCTGTGTCGGCCTTGTTTACTACTGAGGAAAAGGTGATGTCTGCGAACCACAGAGGGCGACGCAGCGTGCACATCCAACAGATTAATCAACTAACAGATTAATTTAAAAAAATCAACAGATTAGTCGACTATCAGAGTAATCGTTAGGTGCTTTACGGGGGGTTTGGTCCCTCATGATGGTGGTTTTCTTGCAGTTGTTTTTAATATTTGCAGCATATTTCCTTTGCATGTGTTTTGTTGGTTGTATGGTTTTACGTCACTATATTGTTTGTGATTGCAGCATTTTTCTCTCATGTTTGTTGTTTGGAATTTGCATCATTCATGTGTTTTTGGCCTGTCACCGTCAACAAGAAAAAAAAAACTTTAAATTTTATGCAACATTGCTACGTCACATCTTATTTTTCAACACAAGAGGATAAAATGTGGCGGGTGGTTTGCATTTTGTCAAGAAACGCTAGGCCTTTAATGTTCCTGCTGTTTTATTTTTTTAAATCCAGGATGTGAAATTTGGTGCCACTAAGCCAGCCCACCACGTGTTGGTGAGACAAGCTCTGCATTTCTTCTCCATCGTCCGTCCTCAGGGAGACGTGAACTTTCCTCTGCTGGCGAATAAATGAGCGTCGGTCTTCCAGCTTCTCCTGTAGGCGAGCGGCTCCGGCAGCAGCCGGAGGGGAAGTGTGCGTGTCACGGCCTCTGATGTGAACACGTTGAATGGTCCTGTCTGAGTCACGGCAGCGAGCATTCAAAGAGCATCTTGTGTTTTCTGGTTTCCAGGGGAATTGACAGCAGCAGCCTTTTTAGGACAATGACGGCAAGCTGTGGACTGACCTTGGGCTTTGTTCACGAGAACAGCCAACCAACAAAAAACACTTTTCACTGACAAGTGGATGAAAAGGCAGCAATAAGCTGGCAGGCAGCTGGGAAACGCTGCCTGCTTTCATGCATTTCTTCACTTCTGAGAACCTGAAACACTTTTGTCCTTACTGGAATGGACTTTTTTTTATTTTATTTTATTTTATTTTTTTGAGGTTTGCGTAGAAAAAAAAACAGTCATGTTGTTGTTTGTGCTTCATTTAGTTAATTGGAACTCTTTCAAATTAAAGGAAACAATTTCGTAGTAATAAAAAATGAGAAAAAGTGACAGACTGTTGATTTTCCAAGCAATGTTCTGTTTAATAGTTATTACTTTTTCAGCTGCGATGTTTGTGTTAAAGCATAAAGGAAAGGGCAAAAGTCTTCGACCTGGCAGCTTAGAGCTGCACGATATTCCGTTTGAGCATCGTCATCATAATGTATGTATGTGCAATGGTCACATTGCAGGTCCTGTGATGTAGCAGGTAACTTAAATCAACGTGTTCTCCAGGGACTAAACCACTAAACCATAAATCATTGCTCTAAACCAGTGTTTCCCAAAGTTGGGGTCAAGACCCAAAGTGGGGTCCTGAAACATCAAGGTGGGGTCCTGAAAAGATTTTCTGAATTAATTACATTTTTGCCTTAGTTGTTACAAAGGAGTGAGGTTAGTATATTTAAAATGGATAAATGTTGTATAAAAATGTTGTTACTAATACTAATACCCATGTTTTGTTGACC